AGCCCGTGCCTGGCGACAGGGCGTAATGGAATAGGTTTTTGCATCACCGTTCAGATTGGACTACGGCCAGCTGGGGGATTTGGGGTTCGAAATTTTGAATTTGTTTGAAGCGGTCGACGCAAAGCCAACGCTGTTGAAATCGGGATGCAACTCACTTGCGGCAATCGTTGATAACATCGCCATGTCCACCAGTGGCACCACACCCCTTTACACCACACCCCTCCGCAGCCTCTAGATTTGGGCCGCGGGCGACTGCAACTGGACCCAGCACCACGACCAGGCAACACTCTTGGCGGGCTTCGGAAGCCCTGAACCCGAAAACGTTGGCATCTGTTGGGGTGGCTGGCTTTACTTCCGCCGGCCTTCCGACGGCGGAGCCGCCCTCGTGATATTTCCGCCATCTTCCACCGACCTTCGCCGCCTTCCGCCGAGGCAGAGATGGCAAGTCTCTCGATCCTCGGAGGCGAGGCCCTTCCTGGAACGCTCCGTTTGGCCCCGGGCGCCCGCAACCGCAACCGCAGCGGGGGCAACACGTTAGGGGCCTGCGGGCACCGGCCACCGCACCCGCAGCCGCGACGAGGCAGCGCGTTGCGGGCCGCGGGCGCTCCGCACCAACGCAGTTGGAGCCGCTGGCGCCCGCAGCCACACCCGCAGCGGGGCAGCGCATTTTGAACCGTGGGCGCCCCCAACCCACACTCGCAGCCAGTGCACCCGCACCCACAACACACACACACACACACACAAACGCAAGAGCAAACATACACACACACACAGATACACACACAACACACACACAGAGAACACAGAACACAGACACGCACGCACGCACGCTCAGACATAAATATCCACACGCTTACACACACACACACACACGCACACACATACACACGCACACACACGCACACACACACACACGCACACACACACACACGCACGAACACACACACACACACACAACACACACACACGCACACGCACGCGAACACTTGGTTCCTCCAGCGGCGAGGTGACAGCACCGTCGCGAAGCGCTGAGCCAGGACACGACCCGGCGAGTCTTCACCTCGCGCAGCAGATGGGTGTTGGAGGCCTGGAAGTGGGCACCAACACCAACACAGGGGGTTGCCTCCACAGGGGGAAGATGATCCTAGATTTCGGTGTTAGTGGTAATAGTTCGGTCACCTTGGAAGCGAGAATATTACCAACATCACCGAGATCGGGATCCTCTTCCCTTGGTGGAGGCAGACTACCGATATTGGTGTTGGTGTCAGCCTCTAGGCCTGCGAAGTCGCACGAAGAAACACGTCAGAACGCGCATGCACGTGGAAGATGCCGAAGGAGTCATGCAAATGCATAGGTGCTGGCCGAGCGCCGCTGGTGGGCAGGTGGGCAAGAGCCAAGAGTTGTGCGGCGAAGAAGGGACATGATACGGTCCCGCAGCAGCGAGCAACGAGACTGAGTCAGTGCAGCTCGGCTGTAAGGGCGCGCCGGCTAGCGCGAACAGGAGGAAAGCGAAGCCAAGCCAAGCTGCGAGGGCTCACCCAGTTGGAGCGAACAACCCGCATGCCCGTGTGCGAGGAGCACCCGAGGCATCCCGACCGAGATAAACACGTGGACAAGCGTCGCCGCCAGCGCGGCAACAGAAGGGCAAGGGCGCCGGCACCACTGCACAGTGGCGTGGCGTCACCCAGGCGCCGCGGGCCGCTGGTGGAACCGGACGCGCAACACCATCAAGCGGGGCAGCTGTAGTATAGGCATTCCACATGGGGTCCTAGTAAATAGGGTCGGAGGATCGCGCCGCGTCCCCGATGCGTCGCCCACATTGGTGATGCATCGGCAACGTCGGCGATGTATCGGCGATGACGGAGTGGAGAAAATCAGGCTCCATATCGCGCCGTATCGCCGATGCATCGGCGATGCGGCGTAATCCTCCGACCCCATCTACTCCGACCCCATCTGGGAGGCCTAGATGTACCCTTTCCGCAAAGTGCAGACACGAAGGCTGGAGGAGAACGGCTCGACCGGCACCTCCAGGGCACGGCCAGGCAGCGGAGAGGCCAGGCGAGCGCGCCAGAGCCAAGACGCGCAGCCGAAGTCCGCGCCAGACGCCCGCAGGTCGCAAACGCGGCCGCCGAGGCGAGCAGACGGGGCCGCCCAGGAGACCGCTCTTTATTTTTCGGCGATAACTCGGGCTATCTGGTGAGGGGGGGGAGTTCTGGCCGATCGCCCAACCTTTTCGCATTGGGCAGCCCCACGTACGTCCGCCCGCACCAACACTGCGCACCCCCTCAGACCTGCGTAACTGGCAAGGTCAGGTCAACATCGGGGGGGCGGTGGGGGGGGGAGGGCCTGATGACCCCGGTCATCGGCGGACCTAAAAAGTAGCCTGACGAAAGACCCAACCATATGCAGCTGCGAGTATCGCGAGGCAGGTGAGACGAAGGAGGGGGGCCAGCAAAAACACTGCAGCGTGGATATGCAAAGAAAACTGACGCGGGCGAGCGGCGAGTTTTCTTGGTTTCCCCTGGGCCCCGTGCGCGGCCGTTTTGTCTCAAACGCTGCATTGGGTGGGGGACGCGCTTGCAAGCACCGCCATTGGGGCATTCGGTGGAGCTCCCAATCGGGCCACGAAACGCTGTGCTGGGTGGGGGAACCGCCTGCGAACAGCGCACCATGGGACCACGACAAGCTGTAAGGGGGGGGGAAACGCATGCGGACACCGCCACTGGCGCCTTCGGTGGAGCCCCCTGTGGGGCCACGAAACGCTGTACTGGGTGGGGGAACCGCGTGTGGACACCGCCACTGGGGCCTTCTGGTGGAATTCCCGATGGGGCCACGAGACGCTGTGCTGGGTGGGTGAACCGCATGCGGACACCGCCACTGGGGTCTTCGGTGGAGCTCTCTTTGGGGCCACGAAGCCCTGCACTGGGCGTGGAAACTGCATGCGGACACCGCCATTGGGGCCTTCGGTGGAGCTCCCCACGGGCTTACGAGACGCTGTACTGGATGGAGAACCGCAGCGCAGGCCTTCGGTGGAGCTCCCGATCGGGCCACGAAACGCTGTACTGGGTGGGATAGTCGCATGCGGACACCGCCCCTGAGGCCGTCGGTGGGGCTCCCTAAGGGGCCGCGACAAGCTGTACAGGGTGGGGGAGCCGCATGCGGACATCGCCACTGGGGCCTTTTGTGGAGCTCCATATGGGGCCACGAAACGCTGTACTGGGTGGGGGGAACCGCAAGCCGAACACCGCCACTGAGGCATTCGGTGCAACTCCCTATGAGGCCACGAAACGCTGTACTGAGTGGGGGAACCGCATGCGGACACCGCCACTGAGGCATTCGGTGGAGCTCCCTATGGGGCCACGAAACGCTGCACTCGGTGGGGGAACCGCATGCGGACACCGCTATTGAGGCCCTCGGTGTAGCTCCGTATGAGGCCACGAAACGCTATGCTGGTTGGGGGAAGCGCATGCGGACACCGCCACTGAGGCATTCGGTGGAGCTCCCCATGGGGCCACGAAACGCTGTACTGGGTGGGCAACCGCATGCGGACACCGCCACTAAGGCCTTCGGTGGAGCTCCCCATGAGACGACGAAACGCTGCGTGTGGAGGGGGAACCGCAGGTGTACACCGCCACTGGGGTCTTCAGTGGAGCTCCCTGTGGGGCCACGGAACGCTGTGCTGGGCGGGGGGAACCGCAGGCCGAACACCGCCACTGGGGCATTCGGTGGAGCCACCATATGAGGCCACGAAGCGCTGCACTGGGCGGGGGAACCGCATGCGAACACCGCCACTGAGGCCTTCGGTGGAGCCCCCTGGGGGTCACGAAGCGCTGTACTGGACAGGGGGAGCCACACGCGGACACCGTCACTAAGGCCTTCGGCGGAACCCCCCTTTACAGACCACGAAACGATTAGGGTGCCACATGCGAACCCTACCCCTACCCCCCACGATTTCTGAGGGCGAGGTGGGGTTCACTTAGCTTGGGAGCTCCCGAGCGAAGTGAACCCCCCTCCCCTCAGAAATCGTGGGGGGCAGGGATAGGTCTCGCATGTGGCCCCCTAACGATGTACCCGGTGGGGGAACCGCATGCGAACACTGCCACTGAGGCCTCTTTTCGGTGGAGCTCCATATGGGGCATCGAAACGCCGTACTGGGTGGGGGAACCGCATGCGAACATCGCCACTGGGGCCTTCGGTGGAGCTCCCTATCGGGCCGCGAAACACTGTACTGGATGGGGAAACATGCGGACACCGCCACTGAGGCCTTCGGAGGAGCCCTCTATGGGGCCACGAAACGCTGTATTGGGTGGGGGAATCGAATGCGGACACCAACGCTGAGGCCTTCGCTGGAGCTCGTAGAGCTCCCGATCGGGCCACGAAGCGCTATGCTGGGTGGGGGAAACGCATGCGGACACTGCCAGTAAGCGTCGGTGGGGCTCCCTATGGGGCCGCGACAAGCTGCACAGGGAAATTAAGGAAAACGCATGCGGGCACCGCCACTGAGGCCTTCGGTGGAGCTCCCTATGGGGCCACGAATCGCTGTGCTGGGCGGGGGAACGGCATGCGGACACCACCATTGAGGCCTGCGGTGGAGCCCCCTGTGAGGCCACGAAACGCTGGACTGGGTGGGGGAACCGCTGCCGCTGAGGCCTGCGGTAGAGCTCCCTATGGGGCCACGAAACGCTGCACTGGATGGTGGAACCCGCATGCGGATACAGCCACTGAGGCCTTCGGTGGAGCTCCCCATGGGGCCACGAAACGCTGCACTCGGTGGGGGAACCGCATACGGACACCGCCACTGAGGCCTTTGGTGGAGCTCCATATGGGGCCACGAAACTCTGTACTGGGTGGGGGACCCGCATGCGGACACCGCAACTGGGGCATTGGGTTGAGCTCCGTATGGGGCCACGAAACGCTGCACTCGGTGGGGGAACCGCATGCGGACATCGCAACAGGGGCCTTCGGTGGAACTCCCCGTCGGGCCACGAAGAAGCACATGCGGACACCGCCACTGAGGTCTTCGGTGGATCTCCTTGTGCGGCCACGAAACGCTGCACTGGGGGGGGAAACGCATGCGGACACCGCCACTGAGGCCTTCGGAGGAGCTCATGATGCTACGAAACGCTGTACTGGGTGGGGGAAGCGCATGCGGACACCGCCACTGAGGCCTTCGGTGGAGCTTCCGATCGGGCCACGAAACGCTGGACTGGGTGGGGGAACCGCATGCAGACATCGCCACTGGGGCCTTCGGTGGAGCTCCATATGGGGCCACGAAACGCTGTACTGGGTGGGGGAACCGCATGCGGACACCGCCACTGTGGTCTTCGGTAGAGCTCCCTATGGGGCCACGAAACGCTGTACAGGGCGGGGGGAACCGCATGCGAAAACCGCCATTGAGGCCCTCGGTGAAGCTCCCTACGGGGCCACGAAGCGTGTGAGGGTTGCGCCCAAATTCGACATGCGGAGTGCGAAGGGCGGAGGCACGAATAGGAGGAGGAAGGATGGGGAGGAGGAAGAACAAGAAGAAGAAGAAGAAGAAGAAGAGAGGAGACGCGGGGCTTCTCTTCAAAACGATGACCCAACTCCACAGGATGATTGGGATAAAACGGTTTCCTGAGCGAGGCGGGCCAGCGAGGCCCACAGGCTGACCCCGCACAGGCTGTGTGTCGGGGATCTACTGGCCTCAGTCAATCCAATTCCGGGCCAGTCAGGCTTTGCAATCCCCTGCAAGATCCTGCAGGATCCTGCACCTTCACCCGGCGCAATGCGGCCCCGGCCCTGCAGAACCCTGTGAGATCCAGCGCTGTGACTGACCCCCGTTTGCATTAACCCCCGTCTCAAGGCCCCGGACCCTGTAGGAGGCAACTCCTACGAGCTTCGTCGGGACGATTCGGGGATAGCATACAAAATTAAGCCAGAACGAGGATGAAACCGAGTGAGGATAAATCGAGAATCTCTGAAATCTGGCGGCTCTGGAGGATGTGCGGCCTTCTCAGGGCGTTCCAGAACGATCTGAGAGCGTTCCGGAAAGCTGTGGGACGGATTGATCATTGTCCTGGCCCCGTCTTGCTATACCCGATTCAGGGGCCACTAAGCCAGATGAGGCCAGATTGAACACAGGATTAGGCAGGATGAAATGGGACTGAGCTGGATTAGGCGCGGGATGAAGCCAAACTGGGCAAGTTTTCGATCACCGGCGCCGATTCAGAACTGAAACCCCCCAGGAGCTGCACACTGTTGCAGGTTTTTGGCCGAGCCGCCGCCAGGCGGGGCCTTGACCGCCAGGGAGGCTGAGCCCTGGGGAGCGCAGAGCTCGTCCAGTGGGACAAGTCGCGCCAGTGCAGAAGGTCCCCCCGTGGCCGCCGAGGACCTGTGGCGCCCCCCCGAGCGGCAAAAACGAGGACGCACAGGCGGAAGCGAGCCCCACTCGGCAGCAAAAACACGCAGGAGCCAGCGCGAGCCGAACGACCCCCTGTGCAGGGGCACCAGCTTGCGGGCAGGGAGAGAAACTGGTGTGCACCTGGCTGGGCGTGGCCGAGAGAAAGCTGGCGGCAGCCCCAGCGCCCGCGCCTGTCCGATGGCGCGCAGGCGTGGGCCGCACCAGAGGGGGGGCGGTCAAGCCTAGGGGAGCGTGAGGACCAGGCGGCCCTCCAGGGAAAGGCCAGCCCTCCGTCCAGGCCAGGCGTTCGAATGCCGCCGGCTTGAGCTGGCCATGCCGACACAAGAGACACAAGTGCGGGCCGCAAGCACGGTACAGGAGACAGGGGGAAAAAAAGGGCGAACACAAACGCACACACACACACACACACAGACACACACACACACACACACACCTCCATGAGGCACTATAAAGCACCAAGGGCACACACGAGCCGAAAAGTCAGCAGCCATCCCCAGGTCCGTAGAACAAGTGCATGGGCCCCTGGTGCAAGCACTGTGTGTGGGGGATCAGACAATTGACAAGAAGAGGACCCTGTCCCCTGTCTGCCCCCTTCTTTGGCATGACAAGCATGGACCTGGGGGGAAGAAGTCCTAGACCCTGGGGCCTTCCCCAGGACCAGCACCTCGTGCCGACCCGGCTGGACGGCCCCGAGGCCTGGGAAGGCGCCCCGTTGGGAGACGAGAGCGGCGAACAGAACTCAGAAACCCTTCCCTCTGACCTCCGTCTGCTTCTGCTGACTTGCGATCGGGATCTGCTGCCCAGCGTGTCGCCGCGGCGGCCCCGGCGACACGCCATGCCTTACAAGCGGATAGCGTGTCGTTCCGCTCTGCGTGGCGGGAGGCTCGGGAAGGCTTCGGGACGTTGACGCCTGGGGACTGGGATGCGAATGACGTGTCGCGCCCAAGCGCGGTGGGCCAGAACAAGCGGAGCGGCACGCGAAGCCCAAGTTCGTGACCGTACTTGCGCGCCCCCTGGCCTGTTCACGTTGACGATGAAGCGGCTCGAGGCGCTGAGGGGCCAGAGGGCGGGGTCGAAGAGCGGCGCGCCCACGCGGGTCTCTGGCACGAGGTACGCAGGGAGCAAGACGAGGCACGCACACCCCGGACTCACTGACAATCGGCGGCGTGCCCAAGGGGGGGGGGGGGGCAGAAGGGATGGGCCTGCCCAGAAGGCTCAGAAGGCCTCCGTGGGACGAAGCCAAGACGAGGACAAATTCGGGTGGGGATAAGCCGGGAATTTCTAAAATCCGGCGGCTCTGGAAAATGTATCGGGCGCCGCGGCCTTCTGCATTCTGGAACGCTCTGAGACCGTTCTGGAACGCTCGGGGATGAATCGATCCTTGCCCTGACCCCGCCCCTCTCCAGCCTTCTGAGAAGCTGTCTGAACATTCATCGAAACCCCACCGCCTTCTGGGAAGGCCTGCTCTTCCCACTTCCCCCTCGGCACACCGCCGAGACAAGGCTTGGGGCCCAGCAGCGCACAGGAAGCGGGAGGCACGAAATCGCTGGCGGCTAGGAAAAGTCGAACCCGAAATCCGCCGGACCAGCGGGGTCGCGAAGCTGTGAATGGTGGCCTATTGTTGTCTCTGCGTTGTCTTATGAAATTTGCTGTTTTCTTCTCGAGCGCTGTCTGTGTGACTGTAGAGAGTATTCACTCATCCCCCTGGGGAGTTCGTGGGCACGTAGATTGACCCCACCTCCAATGCCGCGTAGGTGCACTCATTGGCGAGGGTCTCGGCTGACAGAGTCTGTTGAGACTTGTTTGGGGCTCCTCAAGTGGTCTTGCAAAGTGTGGGTCGGGTTTCGGGCCGTCTGGTGGTCTGTAACTTAAAAACCGCCCTCCTTCTCGGATAAATTGCGAGTGGGGGGACGTCGGTTGGTCCTGCTGCTGATACTCAGGCGCAGCACGCGGTGCTATGTCGACCGGCCCATGTTGCTCCAACTGTGATACCCTGTCCGCGCATTGCGCGGCGGAGTCCTCGGCGCACCCGGCGACCCTGATCTCGACGATCTTGGCGAGGGTGTTCTAGGGGGTAGAGATCTTGTAATTGATGGTGGATGGTGGCGACGCATACCTCGACGCCACCCGCCAGCGGCCGCCCCCGCAGCAGGTAAGCCAGCGGCCCCATCATTGCAGCGAGTTGCGGTGGCGCAGAGCACCCACGGCAGAACTCGGCATCCGAAACCCGTGAGCCAGACGCCCGCGGTGCAATGCCGCATGATGTTGATAGACCTCGCGATGGATGTCGAGGTCAAGCGTGACTGTTCTGCGCGATGAGGTCGCAGCGTTCGGCCAGGCGGCTTCAGGGCACCCCCCCAGGTCAGGCGCCCGAGAACCCCTGGCGCGCGCACCTTAGCGCGTCGGTCGAGGCGGCGCCCGTCAGAGGACACGCCCCCGCCGATGGCGGGCCGGCCGCGCCGAGTGGCTCTTCCCCCTCCAGCCTCATAGACTCATCGCTATCGTGCGTTACCCAGTCGGCGCCATGACCCACTGGCGCTCATCCGCGGGAGCTGCCGGCAGAGGAAACCAAGCACGACGGCGTGGAAGGCGCCCTCGAGGCCAGGCAACGCAAGTCCCCGACGTCGCCTCGGCCCTTCATGAAGGCGACGCATGCAAGGGCGGCGTGGGTGACGAGGTCTGCGCTCGCGGCCGCGCACAGCACTGCGCGTCTCGCCGCGTCGTTGCTGCGACCTGCTTGAGCTTCGCCGATCAGAACCTGCAGCGGCGTTTGGCCACGACGCTATTTGCTGGCGTCAGTCGTCTGCGAGCCAGAACGCCCGTCAGCAAGGCGTTTGCTGGTTGCGCCGTTCTCGGCAAAGGAGGCCCGCCAACCGCCCTTCCGCGAGAGGGGCCCCGCTGCTGCCAGTTGAGCCTTGACCAGCAGTGGATGGCACAGGCGCGGCATATCTGCGCTGGCGGCGCTGCGCGCGTCAGCGACGTCGCCGGGGCCGCCCTGTCTGCTCTGCTCGGCGTCGTGGAGGCCCAACCCCAACTGGCCCCTTGCGACGACGTCGGCGACGGGGACGTCGGGCCCCGCGCGGCTGCGTGCCATTTTCCCGGCGTAGCTGTCGCAGGCGTTGGCGGTCTAATCCACTGCGCGGACGACGTCGCGGTCGGCGATGGCAAGAATGCCCGAATCCGCCTCGGCCCGCGGCCCCTCGCACGTCATCGACCCCCCATCAGCGTCGACGACGAGCACGCATTTAGCAATCATCCGCGGTGGTCGCCCGCCAGATCGCAATAATAGCAGGGGGCATGTCGACCCCGTATCCCAGGTCGCGCGGGATTTTCGCAGTGGGCCAGGAAATCGAGACCCAACCCTGGGACACACAACGGGGGGGGCTCCATCCTCGACAGGGATGCGTCCGAGACGCCCAGGTCGGGGCGCGCCTCAGGTCTGCCCTCTTTTACTGCGCGGCTCTATTTCTCGTCGAAGCGCCGGGGGCTTGGGGGGGAATCGCCCGCGATACTGACGCGCGCCCCCCCCATTCCACCTCGCCAGCGTCTTCGCCGCGGATCGCATCCTCGACGTCGTCGGCGCAGCTGGCGAGGAGTTGGCATTCGCCCCCGTGCACGCGCGAGACAAGTTGCCGCTTGGGAAAGTTACAGTACGCTGAAGTGGCCAGGCGCAGCTAGCGGCGGTCGGTCCGGCGGCGCGCAACTCGAAGTCCCGCGCGAAACAGGTCGAACAGGGCAGAAGGTCCCATCGCGCAAATACCGGGGACGACTAAGATGATGGACTCGATGGAACGAAACGCAAGCTTAGTTGCGGTTATCCTTGTAGCCTGCGAGCGCAGGTCTGCCCGAACAGCTCGGCACGGTCGCCGGCATGCTCTCCGCATGCGTAGTTGCGCAAACGTATTTTCCCTGGTGCTGGGCTTGTGCTAGCAGACTGCCTGCTGTTTGAATGCTCGCACGGCCGCCTCCCTGACCGCGCGGTTGAGCTGGCGCGCGCGGTCGCTGATGTCGTCGCCCACTTTCGCCGCTCAATCTTCTAGAGCTCATTCTGGATCGTGCGCTGGCACCGTGGTTTGCTATCCGCGCGAGGCCGAGCCTCGGCGCGGTGCATCAACGTGGGAGATTGCTAACTAGGCATGGCGGATCAGCACGGGCAACTCGTCCTCGACTTCCCGGACCATGTCGAGGGGGCCAGTTGTCGCGGCATCTCTGACCCCGCCCATGTTTTGGGTCGGGATGACGACGTAGTCCACGCGCTCCTTTGCGTTGCTCTTCACGCTGTGCATATCGGCCATCTGAATCCGAAGGCAGCGTCGGCGGCGGCGAGCCGGCGCGCGGCGAGACACCCATGCAAGCGAACGCCGGCGTTGTTTCCTCGAGCCTTGTTCCAGCAGTCGCCGACGGACCGACACGCCGCTGCCCCCGCGGTCGCGCCGGCGTCGACCACGAGGAGATCGACGTCAAACTTGAGCGTCACGTTGCCCAGTTCTGTCCAGAAAGCGTCGGTCTCGCCGTTGCCTATGCGGGGGCGGGCGGCGCAGGCCGCGGCCACTGTTCGCCGCTGCCCTGGCGGCGCGACGCGCGCCGCCAGCGGCCTGGGGCCTCCGCGCAGGACCTTGGCACGACTGGCGCGAATGCACTCTTCAAGCCCGTCGCCGCCCGCGCGAGGTAGCCCCGCGGCGACGGGCGGGGGCCCCCGGGGTCGCAGTTGGCACGGCCGCCAGAAATGACGCCGAAGCTGCGCATTGGCGCGGTGCCTCTCGGTAGCCAAAGCTCCTGCGCGCCAGCGACGTGAACCTTCGCGTCGTTCAGCTCATGGCCATTGGCCTCGACCCTCGCGACATTCCCCCGCTGGCCCCTGCCCGCGCGGGAAAATCCTCGGAAGCCCCCCGCGTCGACGCCGGCCGCCTCAACGTCGATGTCGGCTTTCTTGCCGGCCGAGCTGCTGGCCGCCAGGTCGAGCGGGCGCCCTAAAACACCAACAACGCCAGTTCGTCGGGCTCGCAATCGACGACGCCCCTTTCCCCGCCAAGAAACCCCGCGCGCAGAAGGGGGGGGGGGGGGGGCGAGGACAACCCCCCCACCCAAAACCGCGCACGCGGAGAGGGGGGGGAGGGGGCGCGAGCATCTCCCCTGGCAAGAAGAGGCCCACGCGAGGAGACCTGCACACAACGCCTGGCGTCTCTCAAAACACCCCCGGCCTGCCCGGGGCACCCCTGGGCCCCGGGCGAGCAGGGCGGGGGGGCGCCCGGGGAGCTGTACAAGTGGGCGGGGGAAGGTCGGCGGGCGGCGGCCGGCGGGCCGCGGGCGGCGGCCGCCGCTGCCCGCGCTCACTTCGACGAGCCGCCAGCCCCGCGCGCGCGCGCAGGCTCGCGCGCGCTCGCGGGGCGGCGGCGCCCTCGACCCTCGAGCCCTGCCCCCCCTCCGCCCCGGCCCCCTCGCCCCCGCGGCCGGGCTATCCTTGCGCCCCCGATGCGCTGACGCGAGACGGCGAAAGAATCGCACGAGCGCCGCCCTCTTAGGCCGATGGCATTGCCTCCCGATCGGGTGGAAAAGGCCGCAGCCAGAGGGGCAGGGGGACGGCTAAACAAGACGGGGCGAGCAAGAAGGAGAAGTGGGCAGGAGGGAGGACTCAGCACATCAGAACAAACCTGGACGCTGGCCACTGGGGAGCGCGGGTGGAGGAGAGGAGAAGCGGGCGACAAGCAGACAGGACCCGACGTGGGAAAGAAAGGAGCGGAGCAGCGCGCGACGCAGAAAGGATAAGACGGGAGAGGGGGAAGGGGAACGCAAATACGAACGCGGGAAAGAACACGTTTCGCGGGCGCTCGCTCGGAATGAAAACGCGCCGACAAGTCGGAACCTGGCCCGCCCAACAAAAAACATTGAGCGCCCCGGGAGGGCCAGGGGAGGGGCCCGCAGGAGAGAGGGGGCCCTCCAAGGAAGGGGGGCTCGAACCTCCCCACCCACCCCCTGCGCAGGGGGGAGCGAGAGGTTCGAACCGCCCCGCCCCCTTGCCCGCGGGGGGGGGGGGGGGGGTCGAGACGGGAGGGAAAGAGCTCGAATTGCTGGGGGAGGGGGGTCGAACCCCCCCCCCCCC